ACGGGGGGGGGTCTTGTAGCCCAGGTGGCCTAACGAATGGCGCCTTCCTTCTTCCAGAACCTACCTACCCCCTCCGTTTTATCCTACCCCCCCCAGCCCTCCCCAACACCATGCAAATACCTTGCAACGCAAAGCGTGCAACAGAGGCGGCATTTCGTCGTAGTTACTTGCAGTGGTGCCGTGCATGTTCGGATTATGTACTTGTTACTGGTTAACTGCACAGTGAATTCTGTATCAATGTGTTCAGAAGAATCGGCATCCTTACCATCGAATCGTTGACGTTTCGCGTATCCCCGCCAACCCATCGTTATGATCGAAATATGACGCCATGTAACAAGCCCGCCAACACCACGAAATTCTATTCCCCCCATTACCCCCGCGTAGTTCGGGCAAACGATATATATCGAAACGGTTTTCGTTGATTTTGGGACCAGGGTTCTGTTTCATTCCGAACATGAGTGCTTTTGAATGTTTCCTGAAATACATGGCTCGGGGGATCCTCTGGGTTCTGGGAACTCGAAGAACACGAAATGGCCTACAGTTGGATCCGGGCATTCAAAATGTGGCCCGGGAATTGTGTCCTGGGAAGTCCAAGAGCACGAAGTGGCCTACAGTTGGCTCCGGGCATTCAAAATGTGGCCCGGGAATGGAGTTCTGGGAAGTCGAAGAGCACGAAGTGGCCTACAGTTGGCTCCGGGCATCCAAAATGTGGCCCGGGAATGGGGTTTTGGGAAGTCGAAGAGCACGAAGTGGCTTACAGTTGGCTCCGGGCATTCAAAATGTGGCCTGGGAATGGAGTTCTGGGAGGTCGAAGAGCACGAAGTGTGTGACTGTTTGCTCTAAACGAGCCCGGTCCTCGACTGTCCGGCTCCCGCCCAGACCCCCCTGGGGAGTCATCAGATGCTCTTTTTTGACCCTATTAGAAACCTATCAGTCTTCGCTGTTAGGTAAAACACTCCAGACCTATAAACCCATCCCCACTGCCTCAGACCTCGACGGAAAAATCAGGAAACAACGTCCTGGTGCTGTTCTTTAGCCCTCCCAGAAGGTCAGGGGAGGAGGTCCCCCTGCGCGGCCCGTCGCCGCTCGGGCCCGCGGCATGCAGCTGGTCTCGGCCGCGCCGCCGGGCCCCTTCCGGAAGCCGGGCAAGGGCTGCTAACTCCGTGGCTGCAAAAGTCGACCTCTGGGAAGTGGTCTTCGTCCTTTTCCGGGAAGGAGCGCGTTGCTGGGTTTCGCGTGCCGCGCCTCATTCCATGGAAGTTGTCTTTTCCTTCCGGGAGGGCCGTTTTAGCAGCCACGGTTTTAGCAGCCCTCGCCCAGCTTTCGACTTCCTCGATGCCTGAGCGCCTCCTGGCGCCTGGGGGGCGCTGGGAGAATCCGCCACGCGAGCCGATTCTCTGCCATACCCTTTGCTATCCCCCCCCTTTCGCCCCCCCCCGAAGCGCACGGTTCGGGGACCCCCGAACATCGAGGGCCAGAGTCCGAGGTCCAGGACGTGTCCTGGCCCCCCGGCTCTGCCTCTCGAGGCCTCCGGGGACGCCGAGCCTCGGGGAGGCGGCCCTGCAGGCGTTCCCTCGTGGTGCCCCCTGTGGAGCATGAGGTATTCGAAGAAACTGCGCGCTGTTGCAGGGGGCAGGGGGGGGTGCAGGGGGGGGGTGCATTTGCGGCTCGGACAGGTCTTGGCATTGCCGCTGGCAGCGGGACGTGGGTCTGCTCGCTTCTTTCGTCGTGCGCCTGGCAGCCCAGCTGCCTGTGGTCTCTCCCTCCGCCATCGCCTCTTCTCGTCCTCCTCCGTTCAGCTTGCCAGCGACGAGGACCCGCCGCCCTCTTATGTTGAGAAGGGAAGCGTACACACAGAGTCAGACACATACACACGCACACGCACTCGCACACGCACACGCACACGCCCACGCCCATGCACACGCCCACGCACACGCACACGCACACGCAAACACACACACACACACGAACACCCACACACGCACACACACACACACGCAAACGCACGCACGCACGCACGCACGCACGCACGCACGCACGCACGCAAGCACACACACACACGCACACGCACACGCACACGCACACGCACACGCACACGCAGACGCAGACGCAGACGCAGACGCAGACGCACACGCACGCACACACACACACACAACACACACGCACACGCACGCAAGCACGCAAGCGCACACAGAGACACCATTAAACGTAGATCCCCAGAAAAGGTGAGACAACATGGGAAGTGGAGGGGGAGACGACCACCCAGAAACAATGGGAAATATAATGGTTCCTGATGTGTGTGTGTGTGTCTATTTGTTTGTGTGTCCCTCGTCCCCTCTATTACAGGTTGCGTCCAGTGCTTCCCTCTGCCGAGCTGCTGCAGGAGTTGCCCTTGCAGTTGTTGCGGCCTCTTTGCGGGAGGTGGGGGGAGTGGCGTGTGTTGCGGCACGCAGTGTGAGGACGGTGGAGGCAGTGATTGAATTTGTTCGTGCCGCATCAGGGCTTCTCGGCCGAACCCAGCCGAATCCTTCGGCCGCGCTCCGCCTTCTACTGTACTCCGCCCCATCCCTTTTCCTTCCCCCTCCCATGCCAGCCGCTCTGCCCGCTCCCCCATCCGCCTTCTCCTTCCACGTCTGCCCGTGGTCTTCCAGACGTGTCGGTCGGGTGGGCCGTAAGTTCGACATTTGCAACAGCTGCACGAGTGCACGGGGAACCGTCTTCGACATGGAGCTGTCTCTCTAGCGCCGAGCGCATTCGTCCTAAAAGCTTGCGGTAGCTACAGGGGCTGAAAGGGGGGCACACTGTGTTTTCGTTTTAGCGCCGCGCGGGCGCTTGAGTAGCAGCAAGCGCCACGCATCAGGAGCAGCACCACGTAGGGCAAGACGCGACTTTGAGCGCCAAGTACAAAACTCCTCGACGACATGGTGGAGAATCGCACCCTGGAGGGCTATATGATCACACATTCATGTTTGTTTGCCAGTCTCGACGGATGTTTCGAGGAGTCGATGGTTGCATGGACGAGGCAACGAGCCTTATAAGTACATAGTCGGGGTCGCGCACATATTGCAGATGGTTCGACCGAGCGGTCGCGTGCGGGAAGAACTCACCAGCGGCTGCGAGGAACAGCCCGGACTTGAGAGAGACGAAGTGGTGGATATTGGCGCAAAGTGGGAGGGACCCGATCACGAGCGACATCCCGCAGAGTGACCATAGTAAGGCCGTGCTGTGTTTTGTTCAAGTGCCGTGCCGTTCTTGTCGTTGCGAACCGATCGGTCGTTACCGGTTCCACTCTCTTTGCTCGGCGCAGGGGGCCTACAATCAAAGGCTGAAAGGACCACCTTCGGCTCAGGATGTGCTACGGTTGTCGGGCCGTTCCTTAGACCGAGATCGGGGAGCCTTACTCGCGACCGAGGCGCGCCGTGGCCAGACAAGCCCAGATGTTCCTCATGTGGCGTTCCTTCTCGTAGGACGCTGCCTGTCTTGTCCACCCTTCCCCTGTCCTTCCTCCTCCTCCTGCCCCTCCTGTCCCAGGCTCGCGCTCCTCGCCCCCGGCGAGGGGGGGGGGGGGGCACGGGAGAACGCGCGGAAAGGCAGGCGGGAAGACGGGCATGGGCACGCGGACGAGGACCAGGAGGATGGTCACGAAGAGGAGGACGACGACGACGACGACGAGGAGGAGGGCCATAGGCCATGGGGAGGTGGCCATGGGGAGGACGAGGAGTAACAGCTGCAGTAAGAGCAGCAGGACGGTGATGTTGGCAGGGTGGACGGGGGGAAGGGGGGGAGGAGGAGGAGGAGAGGAGGAGGTGGAGGAGGAGGAGGAGGAGGAGGAGAGACGGGAGGAGGAGGAGAGGAGGGAGGAGGAGGAGGAGGAGGAGGAGGAGGAGGAGGAGAGGAGAGAAGAGAAGGAGGAGGATGAGGCGAACGAGGAGGAGGAGGAGGACGAGGAGGAGGAGGAGGAGAAGGAATGTGATAAAGAGGAGGGTCGGATGAGGAAGAGGAGAGCAGCGGAGGAGAGGAGGAGGAGGAGGAGGGGGAGGAGGAGGAGGAGGAGGAGGAGGAGGAGAGAGGAGGAGGAGAGGAGGAGGAGGGAGGGGGAGGAGGAGGAGGAGGAGGGTGGAGGAGGAGGAGGAGGAGGAGAAGGAGGAGGAGGGGGAGTTGTAGTAGTAGTAGTAGGAGGAGGAGGAGGAGGAGGACGACGACGACGAGGCGGGGGAGGAGGAGGAGAAGGAGGAGGAGGAGGAAAAGGAGGAGGCGGAGGAGGAAGAGGAAGCGAAAGAGGAAGAGAAGGAGGAGAAGGAGGAAGAGAAGGAGGAGAAGGAAGAGGAGGAGGAGTAAGAGGAGGGGGGTGGAGGAAGAGCGCTACATGCGAAGGAGGGGGCTTAGTGGGCCCCGGAATCGGCAGGGCCGTTTTTTCACGGGTTCCGAAAAAGTGTCCCTTGAAAATGGAAACGGGACAAAAACAAATGGCGATTGGAAACGGCAGCAAAAACGGCTCCAGGAGTGGAACCAGAGCGGGAACCCGTAAAAGAACGGCGACGGAACCGGTAAAACAACGGCGTCGGAACCGGCAACAAACACGGCAAAACGGAATCGGTAACGAAAACGGCCCTGTCGCTTCCAGGGCCCACTGCGGGAGGGGGTGCAGGACCAGGGACGGCAGCGGGATGAGGAGCGGAGCATCTGGGGGACGGGGCAGGGAAAGGCGGGAGGACGGGCTCGGGGGGGCGGGAGGCGGCAGGGAGCATGAGCGGCGCGGGGGCGGGCGGCAAGAACAGGCTGGTTTAGGGGGAGGGGGGTTGGGGGGGAGGAGGGGGGGGAGGAGCCCTGGGACTCGAAGCGGAAGAAGGCGGAGCAGCAGGAGTAGGGTTGTTTTTTGGGGGGGCAGCTGTGGGATCGACAGCAGGAGAAGGGGGGGAGAGAACAGCAAGAGGAGGGTTGGTTGTTACAGCGCCCCCCCCCAGATGCGCCGCGCTTTCCGCTGCCCCCCTCTGCGCCAGGGGCGTGCGTCTCGCGGGCCATCGCCACGGCCGCCTATTTTGCGTTCGCGGGGATCAACGTCGACAGCGCCACCAAGGCGGCCAGGAGTGGGAGCGTGAGGAAGGGGGAAAGATGCACCGACAGAAGTCAAGTGAGACAAAATCTCTCGGACCCCGAACACAGGCGTTTACTAGACGGCCCTGGGCGTTTACTCTAAACAGCCTTGCCCTGTTCGAGTCCTCCTCCGGGTGCGTTTACTGAACGACTTCGCTTATCGGGTTGCTTCTTTCATGGAAGTGGACCTTTTGCTTTCTATGAGATCTATAAGAAGGGCGCGCCGAGGTTGTCCGAACGCGGTCTGCCGAGTTGGAGCCAAGCTCGCTGCTCGCAGCCAGGGTGTGCAGACCCTTCCCCGGGGCCGTCCCGCTCGCGTTCGAGACCGCTCCCAGGCAGCATTGCCCAAAAAAGCGTCCAGCCTGGGGCGGGCTCCCATGGGGAAACTGGCACGCGTGTGGGCGTGGCTGATGGTCGCCCCTAGAGAGGGTGCGAATCCAAGGGCTTCGAGCGCAGCGCTAACGTACAATCACTCACATTTTCAGGGGACGTTCATGCTCCGCTTTGGCGGGGCGAGCGGCTCGCTGGTGGGTGCTGGTGTTGGGAGGTGCGCGTGGCCCCTGGAAGAGGGAACAGGATGGAGGGGGGGTGAAGGGGGGGACGGGAAGTGGGGTGGCGATGGGTGAAGCAGATGCGGGAGGGGACATCGGGGAGGGATGGGGAAAGAAGACAGTGAGGCGGGGTGAGCGGGGAGAGGAGGACACAAGGAAGCTGAGGGGGAATGTCGGGGTGGTCGGTGGGCGGGGAATCGGATGGACGATGGAGGATGCCGATGGGTAGTAGTGAGGTTGGTCACTCGCAGCAGTCATCGCAACAGCAGAGGATGCGCTCCCAGGATACGGCACTGTTGTGCTCTGGGGATCTCCGAAGCCGAACACACTCCCGAGCCAAGAACACGCGGCAGCAGACGCTGGGCCGAGGGCACCGCCTTCAGAGCCCGACCCCGACCCCCCAGCGGTGATGACCTCTGCGCGGGCGCCGCGCGCAGGTCATCACCCTCTGGGGGTCCTGGTCGGCCCGTGAGGGGGCGCCAGGGGCGGCCCCCCCATTGTCGGGGGCGGAAAAGAGGGGGGTGATGACTAGGGGGGGGTGGATATCATGGCGGGGGTCATGATATTTCCCCAGATTTCATGGCGCCTCTTCTCGTTTTATTACGTCCCTGGCCCCCCCCCCTGGGCCGCGCACATGCCGCCGGTCATGATTTGCACCCCCCCCTCTTGGACACCCCCCTCTTGGCCGCTCCCGACATTGCCCAGCGGCTGCACTTGTCTCGGCGGACCTGTCCTGTGCACCCGCTGGCAGGCTTAACGGTCCTGTGCGATCGAAGGGCACAACAGCTCGTCATCACCGGAAGCATCGCACCGTACCCCGCTCAAGACCCCTCCTTATTGGTCCTCCTCCGGCCCCCTCCTCCAAGGGCCTCCTCCTCCCTCCCATGGGTCTCCCCATCCTCCTCCTCCTCCTCCTCCTCCTCCTCCTCCTCCTCCTCCTCCTCCTCCGCCTGCCCCCTCCTCCCCATCCATCCTCCTCGTCCGTTCTCCTCCTCCTCCTCCTCCTCCTCATCCTCCTCCTTGTCCTCCGTCCTCCTCCGTCCCCCTCCGTCCTCCTTCCTCCATCCTCGGGAGGGGCTCTGGTTTTCGGGTCGTTCTCTTCTGGGCCTCCCGGATGGGGTCGGAGTAGATGGGGTCGAAGGATCGCGCCGCATCGTCGATGAGGCGGCTCGTTGCGGAGCCTGATTTTCTCCACGGTGGCGTCGCCGATGCATCGCCGATGTCGCCGATGCATCCTCGATGTATCGGCGATGCGGCGCGATCCTCCGACTCCATCTACTCCGACCCCATCAGGGAGGCCTCTAGCTCGGGAGTGGCTCTGGTTTTCGAGTCGTTCTTTGGATCAAGGTCGGAAACTGGAGCAGATGCTTTGCCAGTGGCGGGCCGCTCTTCAAGCCCAGGACTTTCTGAGGGTCAAGGACGACGGGGGGGTGGTGTGGTGTATTTTTGTTCCTCCGTTGTCCCCAGGAAGCAACGGAACATGTATAGACCAGGATCCCTTACACACCAGGGTCCGCTTTCATGTGCGACTTTCGGTGCGGGGCCGGAAAAAGCGTCGGTGTACAGAGTTCGGCTTCTTACAAGGTCGTGTGGCTGGGCTCGTCGTGGTCAGACTCGCCTAGGTCAGGGAGCGTTCCTCAGGCAGCCTTCCTGACGGTAGCATGAGGTGCAACGGACTGGGGGGGCATACGCGCAGGGGGGGACGCATCGACCCCCATCGTCGTCGTCCCTCCTCTTCCCTCTCCCTGCTGCTTACGACTACTAGCGGGTATACAGACATTGTTGCCTGAAGGATTTCGGCCGCCTTCAACGGCGAGCCGAGATCTATTCTATAACAGAGTCAGGCAGGGTATTCGACAGTGTGGATTCTGTCGGGCAATCGCAAACATGGATCAAAGGGGCGTCGATTCGCGACGGGGTCCCGCTTCCATGGGAAGTCGCGGATTTCCGCCGCCGAGCGAGGCGGCACCGGCCGCATTTTGGGGAGGGCATATCCGCCTGTCCGTGGATTTGGCGACCGCGCGCCAAATCCATGGATCGCTAATTCATGTTTGCGCGCCCCCGATTCTGGGTGGATGATTCATGAGTGTTTTCACTCCTGGTCGTGGATTTGCGCATGGATTCCGCGACGCGAACCATAGGACATAACAGCCCAAACTGGTATGTGTTCCTGCGTGTATTCTGCATGCGTTCGCCCACAGCAAAGCGCTGTAAAGTCACGTGGGGTCCGGGCGCTGGAGAGGGGGGGACATCCATGCGAAACCCGTTTGGAATTCATGCGCGAATCGGTGCGAGTATCCGTGCGAGTTTGCTACGCATGGACAGCGGCGGCCAGCAACAAGACACCATCAACATAGATACGTGCGTCGCGTCTGCAAGACGTCTTGTCTGAATAGAGGTGCCTGGATCAACGACCGTGCTATCTTTACAGCCAAGTTACCAGCCGAAGCAGCGCAACCGCTGCAATAGGCGCGAAGCGCTTCATTAAGATGGCAGACGCGGGCGAAGTGGAAAAACACCTCGGTGCCAACATCCTCGACGAATCCCGCGGTTCGGAGTCGTGGAGGCCAGTAGCTGCGAAGTTGCAGCCAATAGGACGCGGACAAGTCGCACCGATAGATCGTGCCTCGGGCAAAGGTCATCGCGCCCCGCCCCGCCCGCGCGATAGGGCCATTGCGGCGGGAAACCTGGCGCCGATGCGTCGGCGAAGGCCGATGCGATGGCGGCTTCATGACCAGACGCAGGCACGACAGGATTACGCATGCGATCGGAAGAGAGAAGGTTTGCCCCGCACCCCGAGATGGCAAAGCATGGTTACAAAGCTAGGGTACCAACAGCAAACGAGATCACCAGGGCCCTCCTTTCCATTCGACCAGGTGCAACCAGCACCGTCACGATTGGTCCCGCGGCAATTGTCTAGACAACAGGCGGAACTCCACAGTTGGCAAAGCAGCCGCCGCGGAAACAATATGATCGATTTCGGCAGCAGATCCTCTCCAGAAGCTAAGCCAACAAACGGCAGACATGCAACAACTGGCACTAACGGAGCAGAGCCGAATTTTTGAACAACACGAGGCGAGCCCCAACATATTGCAAGCAACCATTACGGAGTTCGCAAGCGTTACACAAACGCATAATGCTCAGTGTGGGGGCCCTCAGGCTCGGGGGATTAAGGGCACTCTGGCTGATGCTATTGTGCAAGCGCGCCACGATGACCAGCGAGCGAATGGACAGGGCGTGAACCACATTCTCGAGCGAATTCGTATCATTGAGAGTGCTGTGCAGAGGCGCGGTGCACTAGAACCCAGGGCAATCATGTTAGAGAACAGCAATATTGTATTACCATAGAAGCTTGATCATGCAGCAACAGCGCGGGCGCAGCTCCGACACGAAGCCAACGAAATCATGCCCAACATTCCAACACATTGGATATACTTGTTTTTCTCCAGGAAAGGCTGGGCAGCGCCAGCGCCGATGGACCGTACTCTACCAACGGCGATGTGTGTTTTTTTACGACACAAGAAACTCTCATCCTTAGCCCCTGTCTGGTAGTGCAAAGGGGGGTGGTTTCGCGCGAACTTGAGTGACCAGGTTCGCAATTGCAGCGACCTCCAAAATGCTGGCGCGGATGGGATCCGCGACGGGTTTACTGCTGAGACTGCTGAGATTAATCGCGCGCGTAGAAGGGTGGGTGACCTCGCGCGGACGGTGCATGACCACCATCAGGAAACAATATTACAGCTGGCCGCAACGGCGCGACAGCCACCCCCAGCGCGCGCAGCAAGTTAGCCCGGCAGGACGGACACTCAGTGGGCAGCAGGATCGCTGTTTCCCCACCAGCAGCCAGAGAACTGGCGGATTGGAGAGTCGCGGACGATGCCCACCGACCGCCGAGGCACTGCCTGCGGCGTTGGCGACGGCCGATGCGGTCACGTCGGCGAAGGCCGCCGCTGAAGCGACAGGTATCTCGGATAATTATGTCGAGAGGGGCGGTGGCGCGCAGGATTGATGGGACCGCGTGCTCTACGTAGCTGCCCGAGCGCGTCACCCGCGGCCGTTCTGTCTCAAGGCCGCGGCCCCGGGACTTCCACGGCCCTTCGATATTGACGCCAAAGCTCCGTTTATTCGCGGCCACGACATTGCCGACTCTGCCCCATGAGACAACATCGGCATGCGGGATTGCACCTGCCGCCCTCCGAGTCGGCCGCCGGGCATGGAATTGGCGGGGGCTAGCGCCCCTGCTGGTCAGCGCGACCCGCGGCTATCAGGTGGGCCATCGACTGCAAGTGGCCACGGTGACGACGGCGTTCGGCCACGACCTGCGGTCGCTGTTATTACTAGGGCAATGGCTGTCTCCAATGCGTGGGGGGACTCCCCCTCCGTTGCGGCGTAGAGGTCCGCTGCTGAGGCAGAGGGTTGAGTGTCGGCGAAGGCCGATGCGACCGCGGTAGATCAGCTGACCAACGTCAGTCGCACGGGCGGCATGCCCAGACGTCGGCGCAACACGACATCTTAGACCGATAGTTCAGCGTCTGATCAGTAGTCTCCCCGCCCCCATTGTCCTGGCGCGCGAACACAGGCGCCCCGATTTTCCGACGTGCCAGCGCGCACAAGCGCAAAGGCTAGGCAGCGTCGGTGATCAGCCTCACACGATGAAAAGAAAACACGGGATCGGAGTTCGCTGGAGACGACGATCCGAGAGAATTCGGCGATATTGTCACCGCGGACGATATGATCGTAGGAGCAGGCACCATATGCAACAGCACTGGGAGGCTGCTTGTCTTGTTGCCCTAGACAGGGGGGCTACAGACATTGCTTGCTTTTCCGCCTTGCTAAAGAATGCGGATGAAACGGTGCGTGGTTTCCAGACGCTCACTGGTGCCAGGGCTAACGTAAAACCGATATAAGTTGACCGCCCGGCTGAGATCGAAAAGGCGGCGCCGCCGACCTCGTGGCCATCGCCCCCGTGGTCGAGGGGCCCTCTGCCCACGGAAGCGGCGCGTCCAGCCTCTCAGGGAGCATAGGTTGCTTTTTGGCAGCAGTGTAAGGGCGGCAAGCTCGGCGATCAGACTTCGCATGGCATGTTTATGGGTTACCATTTCTGCAGTGGACAACGATGTTTCCACGACTACTATGTCGTTGATGTTGAGTCCTACGCTCACAGCGTCATATCCTCATGGTTGGGGAAGGTCGTTCCCGATCCCCCAGTGCGATGGCGCGCTGCCAACGGGGCCCTGACTGACTCCTCATCGCGATGACGATCGTGCTCGCGCTCAGCTGGAAGCTGGCACCCAGCGCGGAGCCCGAGCTCCATCTCCAAGATCAGCAAGGGGCGCCAGCGGACGTTGCAGTTCCCGGTGAGTGGGGGGTTCGAGGCAATATGCGCGTCAGATTTGTGTACCAGCTAAGACCGATGTTTACTCGATCGAAACGATGAGAGGGGCAGATCACCCTCGCGTTCCTGTTGAAGATATTGGCTGCGAGCGTCATGAACTGATTCGCTTCACGTTGGGCGCCTGTGATGAATTGATGAGATCATGGCCTTCGAAAGTTTTCTGAGTTTTGGTCTCGCGCTGTGTCATGCCCGCTCTTGAGCGTTGAATCCGGCATGGCGAGGATGCTCGGCGAAACTCGCGCCCAGGCACCTACCCGCACTGGCCGCGTTCACAGTTGCAGTTGTTGTATTTCGCCCAAGAAACAACGACGCGATGCCACGAAAGTCTGGGCGGGGTCCGCCCAGAGCTGCTGGGCGCGCCGCAATGGTAGGGCCCCTTTGCCACTGCGCGAGTTGCGAGTGGGACCCGCGATGGAAGCGCGCCCATCGACGCGTCGCCCAGGACGCCAGTGCTGGCCAAGTCCTCTTGGACCACGACGTTCGGGACATTGATCATACAAGGCATCCTGTTTGCTGAGGCATCTGGTAGACCGCGCGACGTGGCCGCCAAGTTATATCATGATGGCCCAGGTGCGGCCATTCCGTTATCGGCGGCTTACGCCAATGCTTCGGAGCCGTCACGCAGTTTGATGTCGGCGGAGGCCTCGAGTGTCCAGCCATGCCCTCAGCTGGTCCTTTCCGGCCGCCTCGACCAATGAACGACGCGCTGCCCATTGCGCCTCCTGTCGCCGACGCGCAGATGCATGGGGGCGGTCGCGCTGCACGGGCAATCCTTGTCGCGCTTCCCCCAGCGTCTGGAAGTAGGCAGGCGGGCCGAGAGCGTTTCTCAGATGGCATGCGCGACGGCGCATGCTGGCGCGCAAAATGCGCGTTGCCCAACAGTTGGCTAAGAAGGAAGTTGCTGTTGCCTCCGATGTTATGAAACCACTTGACTTCAGAATGGCACAGACGAGTTATTCTGCATTTCCGTCTGCGAGCATGATGGCGCTGCGCGCGGAGCGCGAGCCGCTGGCAGACGCGCGCGCATGGGCCGGTTTTTCTTTGTCGCGAATGAAAACTCCGAGTTGGTGCGCGCAGGAGAGTCTTAGTTCAAGAGGCGCGTCGCGCGCCTGGGATGCAACGTTACTGGCCAAAAACTGGATTGGGGGCCCCACTCTCTGAGGTAGCCAGTTTTGCGTCGCGCATCGACTGTGGCGAGCTTCTCGACGCAGTGGCGTGCCCCACTGCCAATGGCGGGCAACAGTCTGATGCCGTTGGCGCCTGCGCTCAGGGCCTCTTGTATGCCTGTATGGGGGCGGTAGGATCGACGCTGTTGACGCTTGATCGAGCTCCCCAAGTAGCGGTGGCCAGAAATTGTGCTAGAGAGCAATTTGTTGCCGATCAGTCGTGCAGTTTCGGCTCTAACTTTATGTCCGCACACAGTCGGTTGCGTTCTGGGAGCGCCACTGCGGAAAGCGTTGTACGCTGGCTGCTGGAAGGTCATCCTGGGATGGGAGTCTACCAATCGCCGCGAGAATGTAGAACTAATCCTGTTGACATACGTCGGTGACTTTGGAGCGGCAGGTAAAACAGCAGACATTCAGAAAGGATGGACCAGCATCACTTTTCCAGTTTCCGTCTTGGTCCACCTGAACCCCGCGGACACTTGGGAGATCGAGACGACGCAGAAAGACGCTCTCGGGCCCCCTGGACACTTCCTACATGTTGTGAACCCCAGGAGGGATATGATGCCTGGTATTGGGAGGCTGTGGACGTAATCGCGCAGGCAAAAGGGCAGAGCTGTCTCTTCCAGTACGTTTTAAGACAAAGAGACTTCACCAATGAACACCCGCGCCGAACGTGGGGGGGCGATGCCGGCCCCCCTTGCAAGTTCGGGTTGGTATGTTGGCATGCACCGATCAATGTGCGAACAGATGCCTCGAGTGTGCCAACATAGTCATCGCATCCAATCGTGAGGCGCCAAAGCAAGGGCTTGCAGACGACAGTTTCAAGGCCAGAGATTTCGAAACGTCAGGGACATCAGCTTTGTCCGCTGCGAGTGTTTGGATCCAGAAAATCTACTTCGCGCGATGCTGTCGATCCGGCATCCCCCATTCAGTATGTAATCTGGCTAGACAGGTAACTACAGTCACCAGAATATGTGAAGGACGGTTGCACCGACTCGCATCCCACCTCCATCAGCATAGCGATTCTATGTTGGCGGGCTCTACTGGGTCGATCCACGGGGCCTTGAGGTAGGGCAGTTCACTGACGCATCGTTTGCTGACTGCTCTCGGACAAGCCTGTCTACGATGGATACAGCTCACTTATCGGGCCACGGACCATCTTTCCGATCAGTTGTATTTGCAAGAAGAAACGGTGGTCTCGCACTTTTCGACAAAGAGTGAGGCCGTCGCCTTTGAAAACAGACATCGAGTCGAGTTTTTGCAAATGGCGTGTTCTTGGGGCGGTGTCTGTGAGACGTTGTTCCTTGCGGCTGGGCTGGTACCCACCATCCCACAGGAAAAGAAGCTTGCGCAGGCGAAGGCCAGTGCGAAGAAGGCCAACATGATCTTCATCGGGGGCTAGCCGTTGCATGCAACAACAGAGGTGACCGGGAAGATTGGTGCTTGTGCTTGTAGGACAGTACCGAACGCATTATCGCCGTGGCAAACGAAGTGGTGATCATCATTCTCAAGGAGAGCACGTGCCCGTCGTATTTGTCTCGATTGGCTGGTCCATGTGGGTCGGTCCAGACAGTACAAATTACGACGCTGCAGAACAAGGGCACAGTGTGCTGATGTGATGACAATGCGCCCTGCTAGGCCTGAGCTGCGGGGGGCTTTGCTGCATCTGTTCCAGATGCGCAAACACAGCACCCCAGTTCCCTTGAGCAACCCAAGCGAGAGGTCAGGCAAGAGTGCTGGTAACACAGGAGGAGGAGAAGAACGAAACGGGGGAGGAAGAAAAGGAGGAACATAACGATGATGATAAGGAGGAGGAAGAGGAGGAGGACAAGGAGGGTGAGGAAAAGGAGGAGGAGGTGGAGGAGGAGGGGTGGCGGAGAAGGAGGAGGAGGAGGAGAGAGGAGAGGGAGGAACGGAGGAGGAGGAGGAGGGAGGAGGAGGAGGAGGAGGAGGTAGGAGGAGGAGGAGGAGAGAGGAGGAGGAGGAGGAGGCGGAGGAGGAGGAGGAAGGAAGAGGAGGGGGAGGTTGGGGAAGAGGACGGGGAGGAGGACAAGGAGGAGGAGGAGGAGGAGAGGAGGAAGCGGAGGAGGAGGAGGAGGAGGTGGAGGAGGAAGAGGGGGAGGGGGAGGGGGAGTTGGAGGAGGAGGAGGAGGAGGAGGAGGAGGAGGAGGAGGAGGTGGAGGTGGAGGTGGAGGAGGAGGAGGAATAATACTAATAATAGTAATAGTAGTAATAATATTAATAATAATAATAGTAGTAGTAATAATAATAATACGAATAAGAATAATAATGTTAATACTAGTATTAATAATAATAATAATACGAATAATAATGATAATAATAATAATCATAAGAATACTGATAATAATAATAAGAAGAATAATAAACATAATAATACTACTACTACTAATCATAATAATAGTATTAATAATAATAATATTAATAATAATAATACCAATAATAATACGACTAATAATAATACTACTAATAATAATAATAATCATAATAATAATACTAATAGTAATAATACTAATAATAATATTAATACTACTACTACTACTAATAATAATAATCATAATAATAAGAATAATAATATTAATCATAAACATAAGAACAAGAGGAGTAAGAGGACGAGGGGCGGGAGGAAAGGGCGGAGGATGGGGAGGATGAGGAGGAAGAGGAGGAGGAGGAAGACGAGGAGGTTGAGGAGGAGGAGATGAAGCAGGAGGCCGATGAGGGCGAGAATGAACAGGGCGAGAATGAGCATTGACAGGGGAGAGGAGCAGCAACAGCAACAACAGCAACATCAACAACAGCAGCAGCAACAGCAGCAACAGCAGCAGAAGGACGAGGACGAGGACGAGGAGGAACGAGGACGGGGGGAGGTAAGGATGGCGCGGGGAGCGGCAGCCAGGGTCTTCTGGTTCGTCGGCCGCGCGCCGCCCGCCATGGCGCAGCACCGCCCGCCCTCGGTGGCGGCCCGCCGCAACGCCCGCCGCGCGCCTTCGGCGCAGTTGTCGCCCTCGGCCGCGGCCAGCGTCTCGGCGTCGGCCCGCCTCTCCGCGGCCGCGCCCCTCGCCGGCGCCGAGGCGCCTCGCGCCGAGGGCGACGCGGCGGCCCGGAGGCCTCCGACCCCCGTCGCCGGCGCGGCCTTCGCCGAAGGCGCCCCGCCGCCGGGCGAGGGCGCGGAACAGCCCAGGCCCCGCCGCGACCTCCGCAGGTGGAGGGTTTCTCCGAAGGGCTTCGACCCGTCCTCCTCCTCCTCCTCTCTCCTCTCCTCCTCCTCCTCCTCCTCCTCCTCCTCCCTCCTCCTCCTCCTCCTCCTCTCTCCTCCTCCTGCTCCTCCTCCTCCTTCTCCTCCTCTCCTCTCCTCTTCCTCCCCTGCTCCTCCTCCTCTCCTCCTCCTCTCCTCCTCCTCCTCCTCCTCCTCCTCCTCCTCCTCCTCCTCCTCGGGTCGCCCACGTCCCCGGGGGAAACCGTGCACGCGCAGGCTTCCTCGACGGGGACGGTTTGTGCATAGATCGCCTGGTCGAGGCCGTGCGCAAGAAGCAGTCTAAAAGCAGCGCGTGGGCCGACGACGGCGCGCTGGGGACGGCCCCGCTGGCGCGCCCCTCCTCCCAGCACGGGCGCAGAGCGGCGCCCGCCGGCGGCGCCGCGGCGCAGCCCCCCGGGGTCCGAGCGACGAGGACCTCCGAGGAGGAGGTCGCCAGCGCTCGATCCGCCCGCGCCCGCAGGCTGCCGTCGCAGAAGGGCACGGTCTCAGGGCTGAGTGACGCCTGGAGCGTCGAGAGCCCGAAGCTCGGCGGGGGCGCCGCGGGCGGCCTGGTGGAGGCGTGGGGCAGCGAGACCAGCCCGAGGATGGCGCCACGAGTGACGAACTGGGCGACATCCAGGAGCACCACGCCCTCCGGGAGGTCCGTCTCGTCCGCCGCGTCCACCCGAAGCCCCCACGGCTACGGGAGGAAAGACGGCGAGCGGGTATCCTGCGCGACGATGCAGGGCGTGTGGACGGCCTGCGATGTCTTCTGGGACTTCGACAGGGGCCGCACCGGGTTCGTGACGCGAAAGGAGTACATCCAGCGGCTGGGGGACGCGCCGAGCGTGGAGCGCGTGCGGGTGCTGCGACGGGCGAACCTCTCGCGGCGCTTCCGCGGGGACGCGTCGCCCGTCTCGTTGACCGAGATGCTGCACCTCTGCTGGCCGTCCGCCACCGCGGAAGATGCTGTCACCATGCGGCGGTGGGTGGAGTTGCGAGAAGCTTACCACATCTTCGTCAATCCGGACTTCCGAGGCTCCGACCTCGACATGCGGCGGAGCTTCGAGCTGCTAGGCACCGGGGGGGACTGCGTCGTCGCCTCCCAGCTGGTCCGAGCGCTGGTGCTTGCCTCGGACGACGCGTGCAGCCTCGCGCGGACCCAGAGTCTGAGGCGGCACCAGATCGACTGGCTGGAGTGGAAGGAGCGGTGGTGGCCGGCGCTGAGGGCGACCTACGTGACCCGAGAGACCATCGCCAAGATGCGGAGGGAGGAGGAGTCGGCCACCGCCGGCGACTTCACCTACACCCTCCGCGCCAGCCTCCTGGGCTCGGGCGGGGCGGCGTTCTGAGCGGCGCTGCGCGGGGGCGCCCCCGGCCTGCCTGTCGTCGCGCCCGCGGGTGGGGCAGCGGCCCGGCCGGCAGTCGCCGCTGGCAGAGTGCAGAGCTCAGAGGAGGAAGAGGCAAGCAGAGGAGGAGGAGGAGGAGGCAAGCAGAGGAGGAGGAGGAGGAGGAGGAGGAGGAGGAGGTGGAGGAGGAGGGGGAGGAGGAGAAGGAAGTGTCTGCTCCTCGCTCTACCGGCGGGGCTTCCACTGTGCTCGTTCTCTCACGCGGCGGGTCTCCGGAGAGCAAAGCTTTTGTAGGTCCGCTGTGCCGTCTCCCGGCGGCCCTGGACCGCGAGGCCCTGGGCGTCACGCCGTGGCGAATGCCGGGGGGTGAGGGGGTGAGAGGAGGGTATATGTGTGTGTGTGTGAGTGTGTGTGTGTGCGTGTGTGCGTGTGTTTCCCACCCTCGCACTGCGCCCCGCCGCCGCTGGCGCCCTGGTTCGGAGGCTCATAGACCTCCTACCCTGACACGTCAATTAGCGAAATGGCCGTTGGCTGTTTTCGGCTCGCGAGAGGGCGTCGCAGTCGCCATTTTTGGGGGTCCAGGTCTGTCGGTTTTCGTCCTAGGCCGTTTTCACTAAAGAGTGGTTTACTAAAGGGAGGCTTGTCCACCGCCGGCTGGTGCAGCAGCCGCCTCGGGCCCGCTGGCGGGGCTGGCCGCGCCACGCGCTCGGGGCGTAACCCGTCCCCCTAAGCGGCTCGCTCCCTCTGGCCCCTCTTTCGGCCGCGTCCTCCGCCTCTTCCCCCTCCTGCATGGTGGCACACTTCGCTTGACGGCACCCCCGTTTAGGCCTTCCCGCTAGCGCAGACGACCCTTGCCTCGCCGCCGACACAAAAGTGTGGGCGTGTGTGTACGTTGTTTGTTCTCGTGCGATCTGAAGTTTCCTGTCTCCTGGAAGACGGGGGCTGTGTGGAGCGCGAGGATTTTGCTGCTCGGCAGCCCAGAGGCGCTTGTCACCGACGGCGCGGGAGACCCAGGGCAGATATTTGGACCGACTGACGGCAGTCGCCGCCCTCTGCCTCCTCCTCCCCTCTTCCCACCTCCCTCCTCCCCCTCCAGAGGTAAAGCAGGGGCGCTGGCGTGATCTTTTCGGGCGAGCCTGTACCGCCGCCGCTGTATTCCTTCCGTTCTGGTGATGCTCCCAAGGTGCTGTCGCCGTGCGTGTTTGTTTGATGATCCCCGTGCTCTGCATCAGGGCCAGCCCAGGGCCGATGTCGGACACTGCGCTGCGCTGCTGCCGCAGAGACCTGGGATGGGTGGCGCGAGGACGCGTTTCAGCGAGGGGGCGGGCTGAAAAGGGCAGGCCCTACCCGTCGCGTTCTTGCATCAGGGCCCTACCATGATGGTCCTGTTTTCCACCATCACCACCGTCAGTTGGAGGGGGGAAGGAGGAGGAGGACGAGGAGGAGAAGGACGAAGAGGAGGAGGAGGAGGAGGAGGAGGTGATGGAGAAGGTGGTGGAGGAGGAGGAGGAGGAGGAGGAGGACCCCCTCCCCCTCCAACTTATGGTGGTGGTAGTGGAAAACAGGCTCATCATGCCATGGATCCGCCTGGGTCTCAGCTGCGCTCTTCTGGCGTGCTGGATGGCTTCGAGCACCCAGAGAGACCTGGGACGCGCATGCGCATTTTTTCTCCAGGGGTGACCTGTCGCGTCGCGCGGCGCAAGCCATTGGCCTGCCAACGCGAGGACACTCCGCGCCGTGTTTTGAAGTGCAATGTGGCAGGTTTTCGCTCTTCCCAGACCCCCGACGTCGCGACTTTTTTTACAGCGCCGACCCCTGGAGGTCTCGACCCATTCCCCAGGACCGGTTTTTCATCCTGAGTCGTTTTCTGTGATGGTCCCGAGGCCTGGGAGGGGACCCCATAGGCCGAAAATAGCGACAAGTTTCCCAACGTAATTTTTGGTGGCAGGTTTTCGCTCTTCACTGCCGCCTCTTCGGACTCGCGTCGCTCACGTGAGCGGGGCTGCTGGAATTTTGGCAGCTCCGGCGGTACGCGAAGGCACCGCCCTGCACACTGCTGTCAATACGGTCAGGGGCTGGAGTGCCGCGGGTAGCGCGTGAGCGCCAAGAGGCTTCGGGCATTCACGTCCAGGGACGAGGCGTGTCAACGAAATAGGCCAAGAGAGCTTGGATGGATAGGATGCTGGTGGAGGAGGGCAGCAACATACCGTGCGTGTCGACCGCTGCGAGCGTGTTGACTGCCAAGACCTCGGCCTCGGCACCGTTTTGATCCAGCTCGACGGGCATCGGTACATTGGCCCGAATCCAGTTCTGAACGTAAGAACTTAGGCCCTGTGCACTGTAGGCTTTCGGTAAGGGCCACACATTTTCTTTGGGAGGGCCGGGTAGATGTGAAGTGGAGCTTGCAGGTGGTGGAGGAACTCTGAGGGCATTTTTGCAATGGCCCTGCACCGACATTCAGGCGGAATGGCTCGGATACGATGCGGTGTGTGTTTGTTTGGCGCCGCCCACTGCATCGGCATCTTAGTTGCTTCGCACGGTATTCGACGGCATCCGTACATCGGCTCTTTCTACAGATGTTTGGGGTGGCGGAGGGGTTTAGATGAGGGGGAGAGTGATTATCGCAACACACTGGCGCTGCAGCATGCGCTTGAATCTCTGCTGCTCCCACTCGTTTTGTACATCCTTGCTCTCGCCAGCGCGCGCCGCTGCAGTACCAGGGCCTGACCTTCACTTGCACAGAGCGCTGCGCTCCAAAACGTGGCTGCTCGGAGCTTTACCACCAGGACGCGACGGCTCAAGCGAGCCTACGTTTCAGTCGGGCCTGTCCCTCGACAGGAGGAATATCCAATAATAGTTTAAGAATAGTCCTGGAACGAGTTGTCCAGTATTTGTTGACTTCTGTTCGTGTATGTTGGGGGTATGTTTTAATTCTTGGCCCAAAATCCGCCTGTAGGGGGCTTAGTGGGCCCAGGAAACGGCAGGGCCGTTTTTTCACCGTTTCCGAAAAAGTGTCCCTTGAAAATGATAACGGCAAAAAACGGAGACCGGAAACGGCAACAAAAACGGCTCCAGCATCAGAACCGGAGCGGGAACCCGTCAAAGAACGGCGAAACGCACCGGCAACAAAAAACGGCGGCGGAACCGGCAACAAAAGCGGCAAAACGGAACCGGTAAAGAAACGGCTCTGTCGTTTCCAGGGCCCACTAAGGTAGGGGGACATGCCCGACGTAAGCCCATGCCCCGGACCCCCCGACGCCGTGATTGATCAGTATCTGTTGATTTTTGTTGGTGTATGTTGGGGGTATGTCAGAGCCCCGAATCATCAGGGGTAACTCGGGTCAGGGATAACTCGGGTTCGTTTTTCGGGAACTCAAGCCCGAGTTACCCCGGACCCGAGTTACCCCGGATATTTCGGGCGTCCAGAGCCCCGAATCATCAGGGATAACTCGGGTCAGGGATAACTCAGGGTCCTTTTTTCGGGAACTCAAACCCGAGTTAACCCGGACCCGAGTTACCCCGGATAATTCGGGCGCCCAAATGTTGGGGGTATGTTCTAATCCTTCGCCCAGAATCCGCCTGTAGGGGGCCATGCCCGAGGTAAGCCCACGTCCCGGATCCCCCGACGCCGTGACCTGCGTGTTTTTTTTTTGTTGGCGGCGCCGCCCCGCGGAGGCTTCTCGGCCCCTTCGGAAGGGGCCCTGGGACACACGAAGAAGTAGACACAAGTAATCCTCCTCCTCCTCCTCCTCCTCCTCCTCCTCCTCCTCCTCCTCCTCCTCCTCCTCCTCCTCCTCCTCCTCCACACGAAGAAGTAGACACAAGTAACAGGATTCCCCATATTGCGAAGGCCTTACGGCCGGTGCCGCCGACCCTGGAGGGCGACCCATGCGTTCTCGTATGTGGCGGGGGGGGCGTCGTATCTGAGTGGCGCCCCCCCCCCGGGACCCCCCCCGGGACCCCCCCCCAGGACCCCCCCGCTACCCCCCCCCCCCTCCCGGCGGGGGAGGGATCAAAGGGAAGGGGCTTCCCTTCGACTCAAATACGACGTTGCTGAAGTTCATTTGGGCTGGCGCGCTTGAGCAGGGGCCCCTGCTGGGAAAGAGGACGGGAGTGGCGACGGGCCCACGGAAAGGGAGGCGCAAGGAAGGGGGACGACAGAGACGACGACCAACGAACAACGCGGATGACGTCTCGAACGGAAAAGCCCCTCACACACGCCGACAGGGTCGGCGGATTTTGCCATCTCTTCTGGGTTTCTGTCTTCCCCCCCACTTCCCATGTCTTCGCATATTTGCCTGGGATTCGACGATTCATTGTGTCTGTGTGTGTTTTTCCCCTCCTGACCTTCCCCAGGACCGGCACTTCCTCTCGAGGCGTTTCTTGGCGGCCCCGAGGCCCGGGCAAGGCGCCCTGGAGGCCGAAATTAAGAATATAGGGGTTCAAAAAGTGTCATAAACATAAAAACTCGGAGGACCGCGCGGATTTCTCGGATCGGCGCTGGGGCCCCCGGCGGCGCCTCCGGCGCCGCCTCTGGCGCGCTCCGCGCGCCAGGGAGGGGGGTCCAGCGCCGATCCAAGAAATCCGCTCGGAACTCCGAGTTGTTATATATTTTTGTCGTTGCTCGTTCCCCTATAGTCGTAGTAAGAAAAAGGAAAAGCCGGGAGGGGCCGATACTAGAAGGGGAAAATGTCCCGTCATGTTGTTCCATGGCGCGGGTGGGTCTTGGCTTGGCAAGCGTAAAACGCGGCGCAGCCAGGTCTGTGGGAGCAACGGCGCCGTCGACAAAGGGAAGTTCGGGCAGCTGAACTGCGCGGTGGGCGCCGCCCTCGGCCATAGCTCCCGATCCCCCGCGAGTTTGGACTGGCTCTCGGAGGAGGAAAAGCTATGGATACCGCTACCCTCGGCGGCAAAGAGGGGGGTGAGGACTAGGGGGGGGGAACATCATGGCGTGGGCCAGGATATTTCCTCAGATTTCAATGCTACTCTTCTTATTTCATTTCGTCCCTGGCCCCGCCCCTGGGCCGCGCACATGCCGCCGGCCATGATTCGCGCCCCCCCTCTTGGACGCCCCCCTCTTGGACGCTCCCGAGTTGTGGAAAAGACACGAGGGGAAGTTTTTCGCTATTGTCCGCCTCGGGGGCCCTTTCCCAGACCTCGGGGCCGCCAAAAAACGACTCGGGATGAAAAGCCCGCCCCTGGGAACGGGTCGAGACCTCCAAGGGTCGGCGTCAAGGGTGAAAAAGCAGGGCGATGGGGGTTTGGGCCCTTCCCTCGTCTTCCCCGTCCTGGGGCCTCCTGGGAGGCCCTCGTCGCCACGGCTGGATTCGCCTCGAAGTCCTGGTCAGAACGCGCCCCGGGAGCGGTGCCGGGAGTAGTGGCGTCGGTAGTTAATCGGTTTCCCCCACGCCATCTCGAGTTTGGACGAGTTCTGGGGCCGTCAGAGGGCCTGGGAAGCACCGATGCGCCCCAGGCCGCAGGCACCGTTATTCCTCGAGCGAAGAGGCATGTGATGGCGGACACGAAGACCACCCCACCCCACATTCCAACCCAGACCCCCTCTCGTTGTGAAGAAATCACTAGGGGAGGTGTTTCGCTATTTTCTGCCTCTGGGGGGCCCTTACCGGGCCCTGAGACCGTCAAACAACGATTCAGGATGAAACACCAGTCCCAGGGAAGGGGTCCAGACATTCGGGGTTGAACGTTGTGAAACAACAAACCCTCGCGTTGTGAATATCCGCCAATGGCAGAAAACCAGGGGTGGTCACTGGGGGTTTCCAACCCGTCCCCCCCCTCTTAGAAAACCGGGGCAAAAAACCCTCGCGTTGTGAATACGTGTCCGCTGCTGGCAGAAAACCGGGAAGGGTCACTGGAAGGTTTCCAACCCGTCCCCCCCCCCTAGAAAACCAAGGAGGTCACTGGGGGTTCCGAACGCCCCCCCCCCTTTCACCCGGTCCATCATGGAAAGGGGGGGGGGGGGGGGGCACTACTGGTTCGACCCCACCCCCCCAGAAAACCGGGGTGGGTCACTACCGGTTCGAACCTCCCCCCCACCCACCCCACTCCTTGGGACTGAGGACTGAGGCTCAGGGGATGAGGCATTGGGGTCCTCGCCCAATCCTCTTCCTCCTCGTCACCGCCATGCCCATCGCCATCCAGCCCCATCACCATTCACAAACCCCGCGCGCAATGATCATCGCGTTGCGGGTGCGCGTGCCCGTGCGGCATCCATTCCCGAATTGTGCCTGTGAAGTTCTGGTTTGACTTTGAGCTCGCGCTTGCGCGCCCCGTGCGCTTCGGTGATCATGGGCGCGGTCTTGCCAAGGCTTATCATGGCTGAACAAGGCTTAACAAGGCTACTTCGGGCCGCTGCAACCTTCCATTGCTTCCCATTTAACACTCGCCGCAACGATTCCCCCTCCTCCACCAATCCGGATGGGGGAATGTGGTTGGTGGGGACAGTGGTCGGGACGGTGGTGGGGATGGTGTTGGGGAGTGGGGACAGTGGGACAGTGGTGGGGACTGGGAACTGGAGAGAGTGGGACCGTGATGGGGACAGTGGTGGGGACAGTGGGGACAGTGCGACAGTGGTGGGGGCACTGGTCGGGACAGTGGGGGCAGTGGTGGGTAGAGTGGGGACAGTGGTGGGAATAGTGGGGACAGTAGGACAGTAGTGGGGACAGTGGGGACAGTTCGACAGTGGTGGGGACGGTGTTGGTGGGGACAGAGGTGAGGGGACAGTGTGACAGTGGTGGGGACAGTGGGGACAGTGGGACAGCGGTGGGGACGGGGCAGTGGGACAGAGGGGATTGTGGTGAGGACAGTTGGGATAGTGGGACAGCACAGTGGAGACAGTGGGACAGAGGTGGGGACAGTGGGACAGTGGTGGGGACAGTGGGGAGAGCGGGACCGTGGGACAGTGGGACAGTTCGACAGTGGTGGGAGCAGTGGGGATAGTGGGACAGTGGTGGGGACAGTGGGACAGTGGTGGGGACGGTGGTGGTGGGGACAGTGGTGCGGGGACAGTTGGGACAGTGGTGGGGACAGTGGTGGGGACAGTGGGGACAGTGGGACCGTGGTGGGGACGGTGGTGGTGCAGACCTGGGAGTCGTTTGCCGGCGACGAGTGGGGGGGGTGTCGAACCGGTATAGTGACCCCCCCTGGTTTTCCGGAGGGAGGGGGGTGGAGGGGGTTATTCGAATTGGTATCGATTCCCCTTCGGTTTTCCGGAGGGGGGGCGGGTTGGGGCCAGGCGGGGTTTGCCGGGGGAGGGGGGGGATTTTCGGAGGGGGGGGGGAACCCCAGGCTCCGGAGGAAGAGGGGGGGGGGGCCGAATTTCCACAGCAAAGGCGGCGGTGGACCACGCCCTCTCTCAAGAATCACGACGTCTCGGGGGTGGACAGAACCCCCAACAGTGACACGTCGATTAGTGAATTGTCCGTTTTCGGTTCTCGAGAGGGCGCCGTGGCCGTTATTTTCCAGGCTTGCGCCCGTCAGGTTTGGGCCTCAGGTCGTTTTCACTAAACCACGTTTTACTAAAGGGGGGTCTGTCCATCCCCGAACGTCGGGGGTCTGGGAGCCTGACCTTCCCCCGCCTCGTCTCAGCCCACCACGGTGGCAGCAGATCCGCAGGAGGAACGGCGAGGGCGGCCGCGGCACACCCACCGCTTTCCCCCTTCTCCTCCTCCTCCTCCTCCTCCTCCTCCTCTCTTCCTCCTCCTCCTCCTTCCTCCTTCCTCCTCTCCTCCCTCCTCCTCCCTCCTCCTCCCTCCTCCTCCTCCTCCTCCTCCTCCTCCTCCTCCTCCCTCCCTCCTCCTCCTCCTCCTCCTTCCTCCTCCCTCCTGCCTCCTCCTCCTCCTCCTTCCTCCTCCTCCCTCTCCTCCTCCTCCTCCTCCTCCTCCTCCTCCTCCTCCTCCTCCTCCTCCTCCTCCCTCCTCCTCCTCCTCCTCCTCCTCCTCCTCCGCCCAAAAAATGGGCCCCAAGAAGCCAACATCATGCATATTCCCTTTGTTTTTGGTACATTCTAGCGTTTCAGCCTTTTGGCATCTCGACGCTCCAAGACGGCCCAAGAGGCCCCCAAGACCGCTCCACGATAGCCGAAGAGGCCTCCAAGAGGCCCAAAGACGGCCCACGAGGCCCCAAGACGGTACCCGAGGCGCCCAAGACAGCCCGAGAGGGCCCCAAGACGGTCCCAAGAGAGGCCCACGAATGGGATCGCGAACCCAACAGCAGAGTCTTCCGCCCTAAGAGGCCCAGAGAAGGCCCCAAGAGTCCCCAGGTGGTCCGACGAGGCCCACAGATTCCTCCCAAGTGGCCCCGAAAGGCCCCAAGGAGACGTACAAGGGGCCCCATGATTGCCCAACAGTGCCCTCGATGCATCAAAACTGTGTGCAGGAGGCCCCCGGGAGGCTTCCGGATTGCCTCAGTGTGGCCCCAGGTGCCCTCAAGTCGGGCTTCTCCGCAGCCAAGACGGCCAATGACGGCTTCAGATTGCAGAACATCACCTTCGATTGCCGGGAGAACCCCGACGATGCTCCCAAGGGGCCCCAAGAAGCCCCAAGTTGCCCTCCAAGAAGCACCCAAGAGGTGCCTCCAACAGCAAATTCATAAAGCACGGAGAGCCTCCAGAAGCCCTTCAGATGCCCCCATGAAGACCCAAGAAACCCCAAGAGGCCCTCGGGAGGCACGACTATGTCACGTGCCTGTGCTTGATAGCGCTGTCCAAGATCTTCCAGCGCCCCCCCTCCTGGCCTGTGCTAGAACTTGAGCGCGCGCGAAGCGCGCGCGACGGCTCTAGTGTTTATATCTTCGTGGCGTAAGAAGGCGTTCTGCCAAAGGGCGCTCTGTCCCCCGCCCGAAGGGCGAGGAGCAGGCGGGATGTGGAGCCGAGAGGGCCTGGAAGAAGGCGGGCGGGCTGGTCGGGAGCCACCTCGGGCAGCGGAGGGTCGATGGCGTCCGGGGGCGGGGGGGAGGGAGGGAGGAACGAGCTGCAGGGGGCAGGGAGGCGGGGAGGAAGGGGGGGGGAGGGTGGTGGGGGGGGGGAGACAATGAGTATGGCTGGAGAGGAGGAGTCCAGCACCCGCTGGTGAAGCGCTCGCGCTCCAACGTGCGAGGGGGAGGAGGAGGCGGAGGAGGAGCAAGAGGAAGGGATGGGTGAGGAGGGGAGGAGTGGACAACGGAGAGATCAGGGAACAGATGGGGATTCGAAGAGCAGAGGACGAGCGAGGAGGGGATCGGAACCACTTGCTTTTCCGCTTGCTCCTACTCCTGTCACTGTTGCTTCTCCGACTGCTCTTCCTCCTGAAGAGGAAGGAGGGAGAGGAGGGAGGGAGAGCAGGAGGAGGAGGAGGAGGAGGAGGAGGAGGAGGAAGCAAGTGCAAAAGGAAGAGGGGAAACAAAAAGGGGGAGGAGGAAGAGGAGGGGAGGAGGAGGAGGGAAGAGGAGGGAAGAGGAGGGTGAGGATGAGGAGGAGGAGGAGGAGGGCGACGAGGAGGAGCAGGAGGATGATAGCGAAGATGAGGAGGAGGGTGAGGATGAGGAGGAGGATGAGGAGGAGGAGGAGGAAGCGGAGGAGGAGGGCGACGAGGAGGAGGAGGCGGAGGAGGAGGAGGAGGAGGAGGAGGAGGGAGGGGGGAGAGGGGGGAGGGGGAAGGGGCGGCGGAGGCAGAGCAGGAGGAGGGAGGCAGGAGAGACGTCCGTCCCGTCCTCCCCGGTGGCCGAGGCGCCCAGTGGGCGGCCTCGTCGTTCGCGTGGGCCGGCTTTCCCGGCGCGCCCGCGCGCGGTCCCGCCGCCGTGTAGCCCTGGGGCGGCAGAGGCGCGGAGGAGGAGGAGGAGGAGGAGGAGGAGGAGGGGAGGAGGGGAGGGAGGAGGAGGAGGAGGAGGAGGAGGAGGGGAGGAGGAGGAGGGAGGGGAGGAGGAGGGGGACCCTCGCTGCCCCCCGCCTTCCCTGCAGCCGCTCTTGCCTTATGAGGAGCTCCCTTTCCGCTCTGTTCTCTCCTCCTCCTCCTCCTCCTCCTCCTCCTCCTCCTCTTCTGTTCCTCCTCCTCCTCCTCTTCCTGCTCCTCTTCCTCCTCCTCGTCCTGCTCTCTCCTCCTCCTCATCCTCACCCTCCTCCTCATCTTTTCCTCTCCTCTCCTCCTCCTCCTCCTCCTCCTCCTCCTCCCCCTCCTCCTCCTCCTCCTCCTCCTCCTCCTCCTCCTCCTCCTCCTCCATTCCATCTCCTCATAAATAACCTCACCCCGTCGCACCCCGAGGCCAATGTTTTAGGGCGGGCCGGGCGTTTCGCCTGAGACTCCGTCACCATTCATGACCCTGAAACTTCAAAGTTGGCAACAGCTTCACAGATGGAAGAAGGATGGTTTTCAACATGTGGCTCTCGTCTTAGCGCCGCTCACATTCGTCTTAAACACTTCAAGAGTTTCACATATTGAGGGCGTTCCGTTTTCAAAATGTGGCTTTCGCTTTAGCGCCGCGCAAACTCGCTTTAACAATCTGCATTTTTCTTTGGATTGCGGGTGACCTGTTTTCAACATGTGGTCGTTTTACCGCCGCGCACATTATTTTCAACACTTGCAAGAGTTTCACGGATTGAGGGCGGCTCATTTTCAAACCGTTGTTCTCGCTTTAATGCCGCGGAGATGTTTCATTCAAAGATGCAAGAGTTTCGCGGAATCCCCTGATCAGCCTACCAGAAATTGCGTGTTGGAAGGATTTCGGATTATGAGATCGCAACAGTTACGTTGATTCGCGATGTGAAAGTTCCATGGATGGCGTTCTGGTGCGATTCAGAATCGTCAAGACGCAACAATGAGGTTGATCGATGGCGATGGAGTCCCGAGAATGATATTTTAGCATGCTTCAGGGTCTTCAATCGGTTGTCTTCCAACGAGGCAGTTCCACCAGTGGAAATATTACCCTTGTAGAGGCCTATGAAGAGGGAGCTTGGAGGGAGGGTTTATTCAAACATCGTTGATGACTCTTGGGTTTATACTTGTTCTCCTCCTCCTCCTCCTCCTCCTCCTCCCCCCCCCCTCCTCCCCCCCCCTCGTCGGCCTTCCCATGGCAGGCTACGGGTCGCTCCGCCCGCAACGCCAACCTCTCGCACTCTATCTCCTCCTCCTCCTCCTCCTCCTCCTCCTCCTCCTCCTCCTCCTCCTCCTCCTCCACCATCCCTGTCGCGCCCCGAGGTGTGTCGGTAGGGCGGGCCGGGCGCTTCGCCAGAGACTTTTTATTATTCGAGATTTTGTTCAGGCTGAGAAAAGGGGCCATCACGGATGCTGTGCGGGCCGTTTTCAGAATGGGGTTCTCGCCCCAGCGCCGCGCGCATTCGTGTTAAAAGTTGCCACGAGCTTCGCGGATGGAGGGTGGTTCAAATGCTGTTCTGGCTTTGGCGCGGCGCACATTCGTCTTAAATGGTTCCAGGATCTTCACGGATGGGGGGCGGGCTGTTTTCGACATGTGGCCGTCTGCATCATTGGTGAAAGTTTTCAGGCGCTTCTCGGATGGATGGCGGTTGGTTTTCTCATGTCGTTTTCGTGTCAGCGCCGCGCGCATTCGTCCTACAGGCTTGCAAGAGCTTCGCGGATGGAAGGTGGGTGGTTTTCAAAGTGTGGTTCTGGCCTAAGCGCCGCGCATCCTTGTTGAGAGCTTACGACAGTTCCAATGATTTGTTGCGTTGCTGTCGAAGAGCGGATTTGTTGGCACGATGTCAGACTGTCAGAGCGCAGCCGTCACCTTAATTCGCGGTGTGAGGTCCCAGGAGTGGCGTCTTGGCACACTTGCGGATCGCCAGGACGCAACAGGAACGCCCATGCTAAAGTCAGGAATGGTTTTTTGGCACTGTTCAGGATTTTCAGAAGGTCGACTTCCAGCGGGGCCGCTCCGTCAGTGGCAAAGCATCCTTGCAGGGACATATGGCGAGCGAGATTGGAGGGTTCTTTATTGCAATGTCGTTGATGGTTTGCTATGGTCCTGCTCCTCCTCGTCCCTCTCCCTCGCCCTCCCTGCTTCCTCATCTTCCCTCCCTCATCATTATCCTTCCTTCCTCGTCCTCCTCCTTGCCCCTCCGCCGCCTCCTCCTCTTCCTTCCTCGTCCTCCCCCAGCCCTGCTCCATCATCCCTCCTTCGTCCTCCTCCCTCCTTTCCTGTCTTCCTCTCGCGCCTTCATCCTCCCACACGTTGGAATCACATGCTTGCTCTGAGATTCTAGCCGCTCTTGGAGCTGCACATAGTGTGTCAAGATCACCCAAGAGAGACCGCACATGGGCTTATGAAGGGCCCAATGCAAGCCCGACTGTCCCCATGAGGGCCCCGAAAACGTCCCACGAGGGTTCCAGGCGAGTCCCAAATCGCGACAGGGACCACAAGCCCACATACTATAATCGACGCCGCTCGCTGAGGCAGCCCCTGGAGGACACTTCGGGTTCCAGGAAGCTCCAACAGAGCCCTATAAAAGGGCACCACAAGGGCCCCAAGGGACCCCCGACATGGCCCCAGGCCCCAGGAGCACTGCGGTCTCGTCCGCCGCCCAGCCTTCGTCCTGGGGGGGGGGGCTCTACGTGGACTTCCTGGCAATGACCATTGGAGCGCGCAGCACGCGCCAGTGGTCCTGGCCAGGAAGACCGTGCCGCGCGCTCGAGCAGACATGTCCGTGCATGTTGCCTTCCACCGCTTGGGTCCCAGACAGCGCTGTGAGGAAGCTGGTCGGAAGTGGCGACTGGGACGGGCTCACGGTGGCCCCAAACGCGCCCCAAGGGAGCCACGGGAGGGCCCCAACAGCACCGCGTCTCGTCCGCAGCCCGCCGGGGGGGCTCCGCGGACTTCCTCGCCGGGACCATCGACGCGTGCTCGGGCGGCGAGCTGAAGG